TGCATGAATTTCATGCACTGGGCCTCTAGTCTTTTTTTTTTTTTAATATATATTATTGATTTTGTACAGTGAGGAAGGAAGAGAGATAGAGAGTTAGAAACATCGATGAGAGAGTCATCGATCAGCTGCCTCCTGCACACCCCCTACTGGGGATATGCCCACAACCAAGGTACATGCCCTTGACCGGAATCGAACCCGGGACCTTTCAGTCCCCAAGCCGATGCTCTATCCATTGACCCAAACCAGTTTTGGCCTGGGCCTCTAGTCTTATCTAATAAAAGAGTAATATGAAAATTGATTGTCACTCCAACACACAAAATGGCTGCCCCCATGTGAACATAAGATGGCCACCACAAGATGGCTGCCACAAGATGCAGCAGGGGAGGGCAGTTGTGGGTGATCAGGCTAGCAGGGGAGGGTAGTTAGGGGTGACCAAGCGGGCAGAGGAGGGAAGTTGGGAGGGACCAACCTGCAGGGGAGGCAGTTGGGGGGACTAGGCCTTCAGAGGAGGGCAGTTGGTGACAACCAGGCCAATAAGGGAGGGCAGTTATGGAAAACCAGGCTGGCAAGGGAGGGCAGCTAGGGGTGACCGGGCCAGCAGGGGAGGACAGTTGGGGGTGACCAGGCCTGCAGGGGAAGACAGTTAGGGGAAATTGGACTGACAGGGTAGCAGTTAGGCATCAATCAGGCTGGCAGGGGAGTGGGAATGATTAGGCAGGCAGGCAGGCAAATGGTTTGAGCCAGCAGTCCTGGATTGTGAGAGGGCAGTCAGACATCCCTCTCACAATGCATAGATGAATGTGACAACACACATTCATCTCCACATCACCCCCAATTGCCCTCCCTTGCAGGCCTGGTCTCTCCCAACTGCCCTCCCCTGCTGGCCTGATCACCCACAACTGCCCTCCCCTGCTGGCCATCTTGTGGCAGCCATCTTGTGGTGGCCATTTTGTGTCCACATGGGGGCAGCCATTTTGTGTGTTGGAGTGACAGTCAATTTGCATATTACCCTTTTATTAGATAGGACTAGAGGCCCAGTGCATGACAAATGGGCGGTCGGAGATCCCTTGAGAGGTCCCAGATTGGAGAGGGTACAGGTTGAGCTGAGGGACACACCCTCTCATGCACGAATTTCATGCACCGGGCCTCTAGTATATACATAAAAGGCTAATATGCTAAGTTTTCATCCAACCAGTAGCTATGATGTGCACTGACCACCAGGGGGTAGACGCTCAATGCAGGAGCTGCCAAGCTGCAGTGACTTGGCAGTGGCAGTTCTAGGGTGATGCACCCTGAAACCAGAGAGGTGGGAGCCTGATTACTTGCAGGTCTGCTTGATTCCACCTTCAGCCATGGGTTATGTTGTTGCTGGGGCACTGTTGTTCCGAATCTGATTTACTGCACACTTCTTTGTTTCATAACACCTAGATCCACTTTCCTTCAGACAGACTCACCCCACAACATAAGATTCGTCACCCCCCAAATCATAGATTCAATCCACAATATAAAGAGACTTCCTCTGTAACAGAAAGATTTTCTCTTTCACACTCAGACTCACCTCATCTCACCTGACTCACCCCACAACACCTAACCTTAGAACACTACACAGAGACATGCTACCTAACCCAGAGACTGGCCCAGAAGACTGGGGCTCACTCCCATGGTTCTCACAGACTCATACTACTACATACACAGGGAGGCATAATCCACAACACCTAACCTTAGAACACTACACAGAGACATGCTACCTAACCCAGAGACTGGCCCAGAAGACTGGGGCTCACTCCCATGGTTCTCGCAGACTCATACTACTACATACATAGGGAGGCATAATCCACAACACCTAATCTTACAATACTACACAGATACATGCTACCTAACCCAGAGACTGGCCCAGAAGACTGGGGCTCACTCCCATGGTTCTCACAGACTCATACTACTACATACATAGGGAGGCATAATCCACAACAGACATTCATCTCACAGCATACAGATTTGCCCTAACTTTACAGATATCTTTAAAAATAACAAACATTGCTAAAAAATGCTTAGAAATTCTACAAGAACCAGAAAGGCAACTATATATATATATATATATATATATATATATATATATATATATATATATATATATATAGACTTTCTATATATACTCTAGAACATTTAGCTTTACTTCTGAGGTCCACAAAATAGGATACAAACTGAGGAATGACATGCTCACACAGAGCTTTGGCAAGAATCTTCACTTTTTTGAGTCTGTATACCCATTTGTAAACATGATGAAATACTTCCTTTTGGGCAATTTGGAAATTTAAATGAGATGATTTCTGCAAAGAATCAAGGTTCAGAACAGTCTTTGGAGGCAAACACTTCTGCTCCAAGGCTTGGCTCCAACACTTAATTGGTTCTGGGATGTAGGCACATATGATAGTAGAAATGGCCAGTGGTAGAGGAGACAGAATATGGATTCAGTGTCAGTCATGTCTGGTTTTTAATTCTACCTCTGCCAATAATTGGCCATGAGACCCACACAATGCACTATAACTCTCTGATTCTAGTCCTCATTTATAAATGGGATGACACTGGTTTCTGTCTCCTAGGACAGAAAGTAGAAGTAATTTTGGAGCCCTTTGTAATAGGCATGGCTGAGGAAGCAGAAGGTGGAAGGGAACAGAATGTGGGCCCTACATAGGGCCAAAGATGGGAAGGAAGATAGGTATGTGGAAGGGTTTATAACCATGGCAGTAGAATTTGAAGATCTGAGCAGCCACCTGCTTTTTGTGTTGAGATTATAAAAATCTTATGTTATTAGGCCATAGTTATCATCTTAAATAATTATTTTTTAAAGGAAGCTATCTTTTGATGTCTATTTTCTTGGCTACTTCAAGAATAGGAAGAAAATTTTGACCCCATTCAGGCTGGCTATATTGTAGAAAAGCAGCTGTGTAAATGACCAGAAGTCTGTTCAGAAGAAAGTGCTCACACCTACATACACAGATATTCATCATAGACAAGAATATACACAACAGAATATATATATACACACACACACATACACACATGCAGTGTCATAGATGTTCATACTGAAATAGAGCCACAGGTGTGTCATAATCATATAGACCATATGTTCTTAAAGCCATAACCAAGAATATTTGTTTGCACAATGCAAACATAACATCCAGAGTCTCATCAGGTGTGATTTCATGTGTACATGGATACACATATGCATACATAGAGTAACATGCAAATGCCCACAGCTCTGTGTGTAGGCACAGAACAACATATAGTTATAAATATACACTCCATACTTGTACAGACCAAAGAAGCACACAGAGGTGTATATATGCCATCCAGACAATGTGTTTACTGATTCATAACCTCAAAGATGGAAAAACACAGGTGCACACACATACACAATATAAAAACATAGATGCTTCTGGAGGCTCATGAGGCACATTCTGGGACACCCCAAGACATTTATGCAGAACTGTACACAAGTATACACAAACCCACACAGGCACATGTGTGTTTGTATCTGTGAATATATACCCATAGACATGCATAGAGTCCTTCATATGCAGAAACAGGTGCGTGTTTTCTGATTTTCAGAGACACAGACACATTTACACAAACACAGAAATAGATTCATTCATAGATAGATACATGTATTTTAAACATGTACTTAGTGGCTCATGCTCCCAGAGTCACAAGCATATGATGTATACACAGGTGCCATATGTACCCCCACACAAATACACAACATCCTCATTATATAAAAGTAAAGGATATACATATATATCTACAGTCAATGCGGTCCTAGACACACTAAAAATACAGGCATATGCAGAGGGACTCAAATGCACAGATATGCACCCTTACATGTCAACATGCACAATTGGCATGCATTCTCTCTCTCTCTCTCTCTCTCTCTCTCTCACACACACACACACACACACACACACACACACACTGATCTACAAATATACTGCTATGCTCATATAGCCCTCAGTCCTAAATGTACATTAAATATGTGAATGTGCACACATATACACCTGCCAACATAAGCATATAATAAATATATACATGGACTTAATTATGCTAAAAAGAAACAGACATAGAGACTTATGCAGATTTATACATATGAAAATATAAAGATTCAACCACATATACAAGGACACATGAGTAAATACTTTTTCAAAGGAAGCTGTGGCTTTTAATGTATGTTTTTAATAGCCTCTTAAAGAGAAAATGAAAGTTATTAAGCTCCCTCTGATGATTGTATTCAAGCAAATGTGGAAATTACCAGAATGTTTTCTAAGAGATGTGGAGTGCACATGTTGTGTGGTCACACACACACACTTCCACATGCACAGATTCACAGGCATAGACTCACAGCGGGAGAAAAAAGAAATATAAACATGAATAGGTATATATAGAAAGATACATAGACACACACACACACACACACACACACACACACACACATACCACTGAAACATCACAAAATGTAATATTAAAGCTCACGGCTATTGAATTTGAAAACAAATCAAACCAAACCTGTGTTTATATCCCAGCTTCAGCACTTACTAGCTCAATAATTTGGGGCCAGTGTTTTGCTTTCTTACCTGTAAAATGGGGGGTAATATTAGCATTTACCTCTTAGAACTATTTGAAGATTCAGGAAAATGAAGGGCATAGCCTCATGTTTGGAATGTCATAGATGCTACTGCTGCTGTTGCTTTTTTGATTTTGCTAGGGTTCTTAGCTGGATAGGGTTTGAGTTTTGTGGTCAAAGTGCATGTTTATATCATAGAGATGTATACTATTCATAAATGATATTAATAAAGAATATATGAACTTCATAGACAAGGTCATTTCTGAAATTTTCGGTGATCATAAGGGCTAATTACACTCTCCGTCAAATGAAAAGACCTAAAATAAATACTTCCTGCTGTTTGTTGTGATTGTCACTATTGTTTGTATTCTTTACCTTTTTGCAGGAGGAGATGGAAGATTTGAGTGATCCAGTGGAAATAGGGCTTCCCTCTGAGAGCATATTTGCCACCTACTGACCATACTGAGTAAGTACATTTATTTGTGGATTGCTCAGAAATATTCCTAAAATTTTACCTATTGAAAAGTTGCATAACCTCTGCCAAATAAGCTAGTTTACAGCAAGTTATAGTGATTTCTGCTATATCCAGAAACTAAAAATAGTTATAATATAAAAATAGAACTTTCTTTCTAAATTTCATTCCCCCTCCCCCCCATCCCTGGCGGTTTTTCTCTAGAATTTATTGAAACTGTGGTCTATAGCAGTGGTCTTCATACTTTCTAATTATAGGTCACCTAAAATAATTTTGAGAAGCTAGCTATTCCATCATACATCTCTAAGTTAGCATCTGAAATTTATTATCATAAATTTAATTATTTGTAGCTGTTATTTCCAGCATATTTATAAATACTTGTGCTTTTAAATAACATGACTTAATCACATTTGCATAATCCAATGAACTAAAATTACCATAGTAACTTGATACTCATCATTGCTGGTTTAAAAGGAAAAAGTAAAGAAAAACCAATAAATAGAAATTTTACTTGATTGCATTATCTCCTTGAAATTGCCATTCCATTCAACTTCTCATACATAATTTATCCTAATGTAATATAATTTTATGCTTAAAGGCCTTTTATTTCCACCATATCATAAATCACTATAAGAAGTATATATAATGTGAAACAATTTCCTATAAGTTGAAGCCTCTGAGTATCTTTATAATTGAATCACAAGTAGTATCCAGTTTATTAGACCAGTATAAAATACTATATATTTTGATAACTAATTATTTCAAATAAAAACTAGAATTTGATTAGAAATGCATTCTTCAAGTGCATGATTGTTTATTTCCCCCAAATTAGTTCATGACTCTGAGTATGACTTTTATTTCTAATGAGACAGAGGGGACAGTATAATTTTTTTCTTATTTTTCACTATTATAGATATAAGAATTCAGAAAACTTTGTTCCCATAAATAAATAGGAGGGAATGGAATTAGTGTCCAAGTTATGGGTCAGAAATCACACAATGACCTGTCATCAAAAATTATTTTTAATTATTTAAATTATTTAATTAAAATTTTTAGTTTTTAACAGACATTTTGGTTAGAGCTATCTTGAATAGCATGAAAGCAAAGAAGCCCCAATCTACAAAAGGATTTGTTGATTAGCCATTGATTTCTGAGTTCTGGGAATTCTACTTATGACCTTACCAAGATTTTGAAAATAACTATTATATGTAATACTTTCATTTTGAGGCATTATTTTTAATCCAATATACTTTAAAATGTCAAGAAATTAAAAGTACTTAATGTCTTAGCCAATATAATGACTTTAATTCATTATATCCTTTAAATATAAAGCTTTGTGGCCACAGATTTGGATCATCATTTCATAGAAAATATTTTTAATATAACTTAATTGGCAAAGCAAGGTTTATATCAAGATAATCAGCCAAATCATCTTTACCTTCAGAAAAAGTGTCTGAGTTCATTTTTAATGTGAAAAAGTGAATTACTATACATTCTGAGGAGCATTGTTAAAACCATGGAGAAATCAGTTCTGGGACACCTCTGTTAAAAAGTGTATTAACAAACTTATAAGATTAAAATTTTAATGATATTTATATCCAGTTCAAAATAAATTTAGAAATTAAACAACAATTTTGTTTCTCATATAATATGCAGCCAGCATTATAATTCATGTATAAAACAAAGAATCAGATGACAGGCATAGTTTTTCTTTGATAAAAAAAAATATACATGTTGTTACAACTCTATTGCTTGGTTTCTGGAAATAATTAAGGAACATGTACAGGGGTGGGCAAAAGTAAGTTAACAATTGTAATACAAATAAATAAAAAATAATTAACAAATAATAATACAAGAATAAACCCTTTGTTTCAACATACTCATAGCTGTAATCCTACTTTTGCCAACCCCTATATAAAAATTTAAATATCCATGAATGTAATTAGACCACAGAATCAAATTTTCAACCATATTGATGAAAGAGAATAATACATATAACTAAAAAAATCAGTCTGGCAACCATCATATTTTATCTTATCTAATTAAGAGGGATTATGCTAATTGACCCTCACATCATCGCAAAGATGGCAGTGCCCATACCCAATAAAGAGAGAATATGCTAATTGACTGCCATGCCCTCAAAGATGACAGCACCCACAGCCACAAGATGGCAGCGCCCAGTCCCCTCAGCCCTGCCGGGGCAGCAGGCGCACTGTGCCCTTGGCCGCCCAGGGCCGGCCCAAGGTGCAGGCAAGCCTCGGATGGTGGCTGTCCAGTCTCCCAGGGCCTCCCGAGGCTTAAGTAACCAGGGCCGGCTAAGGCTTGTGCTCCAGCAGTGGCAGCAGCACAGGTGTGACAGGGCATTGCCTTCCCCTGATCACTGAGTTGCCTTCCACCCCAGAGGGCTCCCAGACTGTGAGAGGGGGCAGGCTGGGCTGAGGTACCTCCTCTCCAGTGCATGAATTTTCATGCACTGGGCCTCTAGTTTTTAATAATAGGAGATAGAAATTGTGATTATTTATATACTAAAATAAGGATTGACTTTTAATCAGAAAAAATATTTCAAGATACAATATGAGAGAACAGATTTTAACTAGTTTAATGAATGATCTACCTTATCTGAAAGAAATCACAATAATACCTATGCATAAGTTTTATCAAGTAAACACTTGGAAGTACAGGTAATAATTCCAGTCATATTTAATAGAATTGGAATTAACAGTGTCTACTGAAATTAGTTAGGAAGTGCTTTTCTTTTCAGTTAATGGCAGATTTAAGTGATTAGTATTGAGAATAGGTGAATAATAATTATTAGTTTTAAGCAAATTGAAAAAACATTTTCTTAAGCAGATCGATTTTAGACAAGAATACATATGCAAATTGAGAACCATAGAGTGAGTATCTGAAAACTTTCCCTGTTGCATATTTCTTGAAAAGTATTCATGTACCAGTAGCCTAGTTTGAAGACCACTGTTATAGACTGTCTTCAAAAGAATTGCTTCAGAGCAATATATAGTCATTGTTGCAATAACTGATTTATTGTAGTTTACATTAACAAGAGTGCAGTGGAAACAGCTGCTACTTTTGAATTTCTGATGAATGCTTCTGTGACTGATTGTGTTTGAGTAAAATATTCTGGAAGGAATTATTTTATTTTGTTGATAAATGTATGTAATGTCCTTCATTTTCCGATATGGGAGCCACTATCCACAAGTTGGCTATTAAATATTTGAAATGTGGCTTGTGTGAACTGTGATATGTCATAAATGTAAATTAACAATATATGCTGGATTTCAAAGACAGGACAAGCATAATAAAATACTTAATATTGTTATATTGATTACATGTTAAAATGATATTTTGGATATGTTGAATTAAATAGCACATTATTAAAATTCACTTCACCTGCTTTGTAGACTTTTTACAGTGTTGCAACATAAAAATTATGTGATTGCAAATAGACTGAACTGCAGAACAACTGAACAACCAGTTGCTATGACTTGGACTGACCACCAGGGGGCATGAGCAGAACATGACGGCCCGTCGGCAGCAGGCAGCAGAGTGCAGAATAAGGCAGGCGTCAGCCGTGGCGGGATGGTGGAGCAGGTGAGTGGGAGCACCAGACCAACCAGGGCACTGGCTGCTGTCATCAGGGAAAGCCTCTGGTGGTTACTGAAAATTCTTTGCTCCCATGCACTATGGTCCCACCCAGCACTTGCACCTACTGTTAGCACTAGAGCCACTGCTTGCACCCACTGCCAACACCTGGCACTGGTCCCAATTACCTGAGTGCTTCTCCACTTCCCCCTGTTTCTGAGGGGCAATTGGGGCAACAGCTGAGCTTGCACCCACTGATGGCACAGGCCTATCTCACACCCAGTGGGGCCAGAGCCATCAGTATGTGGAAGTGACGGTGGTGGAAGCTGGGAGACTGGAACTGGGGACCATGGCAGGAGGGGCCAGGCAGGTTCAGGGAGGATGGGCTGAGGCTCATCCCTTGGCCCACCATAGCCTCATGGCCCACAGTTCCTTTCAAGGGGGATGAATTCATGCACTGGGCCCCTAGTTATATAATAATACTGCTCTAGAGCTTATATTGAAATGCTCTAACTTCCTCTAAAAAATGGCCATAGGAAAGAAATAATTTGTCCGCTATTCTATTCTGATGTAGCCAGTACCTTTTACTAGCGTTTGGGCTTCCAGGTTGGGGAATCTGTACTTGTAAGCAAAAACAAAGACCAAAACAAACCTCAGCATTTTATTAAAGAAATTTAAAAAGTTGTCTTTTATTAGTACCTATCAATAGAAATTTTCCCAATATGAATGTTGGATGGCTTCTCAATGGCTGCAAGTGAAGCCTTTCAAACATTTCAAAACAGTCAGTGGCAGATATTGCATTTTATTGAAGATATGAAGTATTTCATCACATTAGAGACCTTTTTTTGTTTTTACATAATTGTGTTTTTATGTAACACTAAGAAAAAAACATTAAAAATCTGATGTAATGCTTTAATATCTGTAGAACTTTAATTTCATATTTACTGAAATATATTTTTTGGTTTATTTAGATATACATTTTTATCATATACTAGTGGCCTGATGCAGGAAATTCGTGCAAAAGTAGGCCTTCCTTCCCCTGGCTTCCCTCCAGCTGCATGCAGGCACCCAGAGCCTGAGCTTCCCTCGAAGCCCCAGCTTCATCCAGTCTAATTAGCATATTATACTTTTATTATTATAGACCAGTGTTTCCCAAAGTGTGGTAGGAGTACCCCCAGGGGTACGGGAAGAATTTGGTGGGGGTACACGTTGCACCGGAGTTTGGTGGGGATATGCACTGCACTGTGCTTAGCTGCGCCTAATTCTATGTTCTCATGCGTACGAGGGGTACTCAGCGTTACGAAAATTATAGAAGAGGTACACATATGTCAAAAGTTTGGGAAACACTGTCAGATTATGATACTACAATAGCCACCACCAAGTTTGATATATACTGGCAATGACATCTCCCTTTCAAATGCCTCCTGGATGACAGTGATTGGAAAATTGCATTGATTAAAAGGTACATTCTGATTTCAGAGATGTGAAAATGTGAAGAAAATAAGCATCTTAAAATTAGATACGGTAAGTCATTTGTCAAGAAAAGGTGGATCGTGGAGTAAAGAAAGCCAAACTCCAAGATATCAAACAGCACAGTAAAAACACTTTTCTGTATATTATTGTATTTACAAACAACAAAACATGGTTCTCATTTTTAAGACATGTCATAGTGCACTTGAATAACTTTACATTATACATTTCATCTTAATTATATGATGATGTTCTTAGCATTCTTTTAATTGTTTTCTGACTTGGAAGTGGGAGGGCTAGGGAAGAATCATGAAGGGAGGAGCTATGGCTGAGGGAGGCTGAATCTTTCCAGACTGAAAATGTCTAGTATGTCTGTTGTAAGAACCACTTAGTAAAGCCTTGTGTGAGGCTGTGCCTTCAATGGCACTGTTTATTTTTTGTAAGTGGGCTAACAGAGGAAGCCTTTTTCCTTGTCATGGCTTAGATTAGTTCTAATATATTCAGTGTATCCTTTCCTAACTGCAGAATCTAAGAGAGGGAGGAATGGTGATTGAGCTACTTTCCCAGTTTTTGTTTTATACAGTATTTTAAAGGGTCAGCAAAAAGAATAAAAACTCCACAAGCAGCACATTATCTCAAAAATCAATGAAAAAAAATACACAGATTTAGCATCCAGGAATTGTGGCACATCTCTAATTCTAATGATACTCTTGATGATATATGAATTTACAAGGGTAACAAAACCAAAAGTTTTCATGAAATCAGAACAATCAGAGATCCAATAACATATTTCCTCCATTTTCTCTACAATTATACATCATCCTAAAACTTAAGTGTCTCGCCCATCCAGCATGGTTCTGTGGTTGAGCATGAACCAGTAGGTCAGGGCATATGCCCGGGTTGCAGGCTCAATCTCCAGTGTGGGGTGAGCAGGAGGTAGCCGATCAATGATTCTCCTCATCATTGCTATTTCTATCTATCTCTGCCTCCCCTCCTCTCTGGAATAAATAAAAAATATATTTAAAAAAAAACACCAAAAAGCTTAAGTGTCTCTTGAGGGCTCAAAAGCAGGGCTATCTTCATGAGTTTTTGATCTGTGTAGTCTTATAGGGCCCTATGCTTAGATGGTTTGATGCTCTGCTGTCATGGTGTTGAAATTCTTAATTTTTGTAAAATGAGGCCCCCATTTTCCTTTGCCATTGGGCTGCACAAATTATGTAGGTGATCCTGTTCAAAAGCAAATACTTTCTGGATAATTATTAACTGAAGTTACAAAATTAAATTAGAAGCATTGATTTTCTAATGCTGTGCATTCTTTCTGTCAAAACTCATAAATATAGTATTCATAAGCTACTATTGCTGATGGTGGTGTTATTAGGAATAATAGTTGTAGAAATGCTATAGGAACAGAAGTATGTCTCAACAGTACTTTATACTGATTCCCCCATTTATTCAGATGACTTGTGGCATCTTCTATGTTTCTATTTTCTCATATGAAAGATGGCAGTGACATTTACACCCAACCTCTTTAATTCTAGATAAAGCTAATCAGAAGCATATTAAATCATTCATGGAAGTACTTGTGATCTGTAAAGGATAAAACAAACATTATTTAGTTCCATACCCAGCATGGAGTTTGGGTGACAACCACCTGCCTGAGGTCCTGGGGGCCTGAGTTGGGCTCAGTAATGAGACTGCTTTGATCTCTGACCATAGAGCAGGTATCCCAGGGGGTCCTGGAGCCAGAAAATTAATGCTCCTGACCTCTCAAGAACCTGACCTCACATCTCACTGCTGTCAAAAGGCCTGGGTCAGAGAACTTGGAAATGACAAATATGTAGACAGGACTAGAGGGTTGAGGAGAGAGGAGAGGAAGTGCAGCCCAAAAACATCTGGGTCCCTGGGGAAGAGTCACATGGACTTTTTTTCTAGGGCACCTAGAGCTATATCCAGTGTTGGAGAGGGAATGGCCAAGGGTGCCAGCAACTTCGATTGCCAGTTTTCTCATTGTGGAAAATGGAATTGTATTCAGAGTTGCCATTATTTGACTAAGGAAAGGAAACCTTTGTCTCCTTTGTGTGAGGTACTAATTTTCTTGGATGTAAAAGAAAAAAAAGAGGCACAATGGATACTTGAGGAAGTCAGCAAATAACCACTGTGGCTTTTAAGTATGCAAGAATACCTGTCAGTGCCTTACTGAGACTCATTTAAACAATTGCAGGGTTTGGCTGCAAGACAATAGAGAGGTAAAAGTAGCATGCCAATGACTTCACTGCAAATGCCATTTGAAATACCTTGGCAATGTCCTCTGCCACTAATGGGACATGATGATCAACAATTTGCCTTATTTCTCATATCAGAGATTGCTGCAGACTTTATTTCTTGTGTCTAACAGAAGTGAAAATTGGAAGGTAGCTTTTTAGGAATGAGTGTCCAAAGGCTTTTGGTTTTTTTATTCAAAATGGTAGTTTATTTAGTTGCATATTTCTATTAATGAATGGGGGGTTACAGCACTGTGTCAGAATGCAGGGATAAAGTGGTTGGGATACGTTTGTGTTGACAGAGGAGAGAGGGCCTATTCTCCCTCAGTTGTTAGAGGGGCTGGAATTCCTGAGATATCCTGAGAATAGGAATTTTCTGAGACTCACACAGAAGGATGAGATATGTTAGAAAGCTCTATTTCAGGGGAATTAAATCCTTGAGTTTCCAAAGTCCCATTTCCTTTTGTCCCCCCCAACCCAGCCCCTGTAAGAAGTATAGCTGGGGCTTCAGTAGAGCTTAAATCAGAGCCAGTGTACAGACTTTCCATGTCTGCAAAGTCCAATCCAACATCAGGCTAGCTTAATTTGTGTTTCCCACTGCAGTTCATTAGTCCATTGCATGTGGGGTCCACAAGGAAGCCAAGGGCTAGCCAAGAGCACAAGAGAGCAACAAGAGAGGACTTTTTTGTTTAGGAGATTATGGCTTCCCAAGTTTTTGGTGTCACTTGCAGTGGCCATGCCCATTCTGGCCAACCATGTCTGTCCCAGGTTCGACTGACAGACACTTTCCTTAGTCACCCCAACTTTCCTGGGCATGGGTCTATTTTTCCTTTGCTCGATCCCTTCCACCAGTGTTTTGTGAGGAATAGGCCAGTGTTTCCCACTGGGGGGTGCAAAGTTGCAGTTTCCTGGTAAAGCTGCCCAAAAGATCTGCCTAAAATGCCTGGCCTTCCTCTTTTCCTCCTTTTCTATTATTAATAACTAGCAAATTACAATGGTATCATTTGAATTCTTTTGATATTTTTTTGTACCTGAGTTGTCATACTATAATAGGTTCATTCTTCAGCAAGGGCTACAGACCTGGTAAACCAATGTTTACCAGGAATGTCTGGAGAGCGAATGTCTGGTCTGTGATTGGTTCAGATCTTAGACTGCCATCTGCTTAGAAACTTGGCTTGGATAGGATGCATGACAACTTATATCTGGACTGGAGACAGGGCTATGGATGCTGATTGGGCAACTACGTTTTTAGCATGCCACTGAGTATGTGCATTTTGA